AGCCGCCTGTCATTCAACCCCCCCAGATCCCTCTCTGCTGAGCCACTCCTCTCCAAGCCTGTAGCGCTGCTGCCTGGGGTTGTTGTGACCAAAATACATGACCTAGCACTTGGCCGTGTTGCTGAACCTCCTATAGTTGGCCTCGGCCCATTGATTCAACCTGTTCAGATTCCCCTGCAGTGCCTTTCTATCCTCTAGCAGATCAACACTCCCACTCAATTTGGTGTCACCTGCAAACTTACTGAGGGTGCACCTAATCCCCTTATCCAGATCATAGATAAAGATGTTAAAGAAGACTGACTCCAAAGCTGAGCCCTGGGGAACACCACTTTTTACCAGTTGCCAACTGGATTTAACTCTGTTCACCACAACTCTCCAGACTCAGCCATCCAGCCAGTTTTTAGCCCAGTGAAGGGTACATCTGTCTAAGCCATGAGCCATCAGCTTCTCTAGCAGAGTGCTGTGGGAAGACAGTGTCAAAGGCTTTACTGAAGTCCAGGCAGACAGTGTCCACAGCCTTTCCCGCATACACTAGGCACGTCATCTGGTCATAGAAGGCGATCAGGTTGTTCAAGCAGGACCTGCCTTTCAAGAACCTGTGCTGGCTGAGACCGATCCCCTGGTTATCCCACACGTGCCACATGAGTGCACTCAAGATGAACCACCCAATAATTTCCCTGGTACTGAGGTCAGGCTGACAGGCCTGTAGTTCCCCAGATCCTCCTTCCAGCCCTTCTTGTAGATGGGCACCACATTTGTGAGCCTGAAATTAGTTAATCACGATTTGCCCTTTGTGAACCGATGTTAACCTTGTCCAATGATTGAATTGTTCTTTAAATGCCGGTATAATGTTCTCCACAAATTTTCCAGGTCTTGAGGTTACACTAACAGGTGTGTAGTTTCCTGGATCTTCCCTCACATCTTTCTTGTAATCTGGAATAATGCTGGCTAGCTGCCAGTCAGTGACAACCTCCCCAGACTCCCAAGACCTTTTGTAGATGATTAAAAGGGTCTTGCTGAAACACCTGCTAGCTCCTTCAGTACTCTGGGATGAATCCCATGAGGCCCCATGGACTTAGGAACATTCAACTGATGCATCTGTCCCCTTACAACTTCAGTGTCCACAAATCAAAAGTCACTGCTCCTGCAGCCATGGTCCTCTAACTCACAGGACCAGGTACAGAAAAGAAAAGAGCAGAAATTAATGCAGAGAAAAGTCTCATAAAACTAAGAAATTGTAAGCATTTTGAAAATTTGGTCTGAAAATGTCTCAATAGAAAGTCGCTGATAATCTGACAAAAGAGTACCCAAAAAGCAGGATTCATTTTGAGGACCTAGATTACTAAAAGTAAAGTAAGAAAAGCATATTCTACACTCATAAGACTTCAGTACATTTTACAGGTCTGGAAACCTTCTTGTTCTTTCCTCATTTACTGAATGTTTTCAAATGAGTTATGAGGAGTGAGCAGACTAATCTATTTAAGATCAAATTTGAACTCAAATTTCCCCTCTAGTGTTACTTGAGAACAACTGAAGAATAAGCAATACCACAAGACAACTATTTTACAAGAAAATAAAAATCTGTCTCATGTCCTGCCTTTCCACTCCTGTCAACCCTTGAGTTACACGACTTTGTTCACAGTATAGCAGACTAGGTGAAAGTATCATTTACCATAAGCTCTTGCATTAGGTTTCATGAAATTTGTCAATGTTAATTTTAACAGACAAATAAAGACTGCGATATATTGTGCTGTTGAGTGCACATGTACACTCAGGTCTGAATTAATTCAGAAGGCTAATGTTTAGCAAGTACTAACACCTACACAAATGCACAGAGTATGCTGAACAAGGTGGCTACAATACTGTGTGCAAAGTATCTTAGTTTAGCTGACAGCTATTAAAAATAGCAAGCTCTGCAGCTCGATCTCTTTACACTGTACTGAAAGTTCACCACATACGTCAGCTCAGGGCAGCACTCTAAACTGTCACCCACAAAAATGAACTTAACTTCACTAATCGGAGAAGACTCAGAATTAATAACTACAAGTATGCTTAAAATAAAACTCAACAAGCTACATAAAGCATTACAGTAGATCCACTTCCAAAAATACTGCCCCTATTTGACAAATGAGTGATTTAAAACACACTGCATAACTGAGTGTCAGCAGTTTTGAAACCATGGTCTAATACTGAGACTATGCAGTGTCAGATATCCCAATGTTTTAAATTATATTCAGATCAAACCCAGGCAACTGATGGCTTATTTGTAAAATTAACCAAATTAGCTGCCTATAGCTGCATATTCACATGATAGAGTCTAGGTTCTAAGATGCAAAGGATACTTAACCCAGCAAAAAGCTAGAGAGACATAGGCAGACATTATCTTTTCCAACAGAGAGTTTTCCAATACAAATTTAGCTTTTCAAAATCTTTCTACCCAAATTTGAATTAGAGAGAGTTCATTCTGCTTTGATATAGGCAAAAAAAATCACTTTTTTTCCACTGCTGTCACTTTCAGAAATACTCTGCAGCCATGTCACATCTAATGTGCATCATTCTACTTTAAAAAAAAATACTTTCTAGCAACCAACACTCATCATATTTCTGTAAAAGTACACATAAGAGGAAAATATCCAATTAGATTTTGACTTTAAAAGAAAAATGCCTTGCCCTCAGCTTTATAACTATATTCTCATTTTTTCCACAGCATTAAAAACAAAAATACAGTTAGGGCAAGCAGACCCTCCCTCTAAACGACTAAAACAGAAGTGACTTACAGGAGTTGCAAGAACAAGCACTAAGAAACGAGAAGATGACAACTAGCCATCTCGATGTGGGACTGTTAGCTAGTGCACATGAAAGC